ACAGACGGACAGACAGACAGACGGACATCGTTAAATCGACTTAGAATTTTATGCTGATTATGAATATATATACTTTATGGGGTCTAAAACGAATATTTAGGGATGTTACAAACGGAATGACAAAGTTAATATACCCTCCTTTCCAAGGTGGAGGGTATAAAAATATGGAACTGTGACACTCTCCTAATATTCGAGTGGAGGGTGTCATTCTCCATAGCTCATGGTGGGCATGTAAATACCTAGTACCAAGCAGTTATTGCCTTCCAAAACCTGGCTTATGTCTGGCAGATAACTAAGAATATCTAGCTCATCAGTTCCACGCTTGGCTGTTGCCCCCATACATCCTGTACATGGAGTATATATATATATATATATATGTCAAATGCTTTGTTTGGGGACAGCAATTTTTTTAACTTTTGAACCCATTTTTAGTATAATTAGGGCCTTCCTCAGCTAAATTTAATAATTATTAGGTAATTTTCCCGAAAACTTTTGATTTGCAACATATTTTTTACATAACGACTACTTTGAGGTCATCATATATGTTGTTGCTCCTTTCAGACACTGTCCCCAAAATGCACACGGCGTATATTTTGTTGTGGGTTGCCACCACGTTGTCAAATATATTCAACACAACTTAACGCCGTTGCATGATAACCGGACGTCCTTTGGGAAGTACCAGAAGGAGTAAGCAGACGTTTTGCATTTAATGAGACTCAGAAGGAGTGGGCTCAGATATATTGAAACATAATATGTTTGAAGAGCATCGCTGACTCGTTGCGCATGTTTAAGAGGTTATATTTATTAAATATTTTGAACTTATGTGAGGAAGGTACTAGAAAGAGTAGTCCGCTATTTTCGATATTCCCATCAGGTATTTTGTGTAAATGTATAGAAAAAAATCGGATTATTTTATATTATTCAAAATGTTTGCCTTTGTGGGGGAGGTACCAGAAGGAGTGGTCCGCTATATTCCATTTTTACACAAGATGTTACAATGGTAGAACTATTTGTATGTGCGAAGTTTGAAAATAATCGGATGATTAAATTTTGATCATTTTTTGTGAAGGGTATGTGCTTACCAAAAGAAGTGGTTCGCCATAGTCCACTAGATTTTATAATGGTAAAAATATTGGTATGTGTGATATTTGATGAAAATGAAAATTAGTTATTCCAAATTTTGACACTTTGTGGGGGAGGTACCAGAAGGAGTGTCTCGCTATACTCCATCTTTACACCAGATAAATATATGGTAAAAATATTGATACGTGTGAAATTTGATGAGAATCCGAAGTATAGTTTGCATTCTATGAGCGTCTTAGTTATTCCAAACTTTGACCCTTGTGGGGAGGTACCAGAAGGAGTGCTCCGCTATAATATCTACCCCAGACTTTGTAATCGTAAAAAAAAATTGGTATGTGTGAAATTTGATGAGAATCCGATGTATATTTCGCATTTTTGAACGTCTTAGTTATTCCAAATTTTGACCCTTTGTGGGGGAGGTACTAGAAGGAGTGGCTCGCGGTACTCCATCTTTATACCAGACTTTGTAATGGTAAAAATATTGATATGTGTGAAATTTGATGAGAATCCGATGTATAATTTGCATTCTATGAGCGTATAATTTATTCCAAATTTTAAACCAGAAGGAGTGTCTCGCTATACTCCATCTTTACACCAGACTTTGTAAAATTTGTGAAATTTGATGAGAATCCGATATACATTTCGCATTCTATGAGCGTTTAGTTATTGCAAATTTTGACCCTTTGTGGGGGAGGTACCAGAAGGAGTGCTCCGCTATAATCCATTTTTACCCCAGACTTTGTAATGGCAAAAAAATTGGTATGTGAAAATTGGTGTGTGAAATTTGATGAGAATCTGATGTATTTTTCGTATTTTTGAATGTCTTAGTTATTCCAAATTTTGACCCTTTGTGGCTTGCTATACTCCATCTTTACACCAGACTTTGTAATGGTAAAATATTGATATGTGTGAAATTTGTTGAGAGTCCGATGTATATTTCGCATTATATGAGCATTTTAATTGTTCCAAATTTGGGCCCTTTGTGGGGGAGATACTAGAAGGAGTAGTTCAATCTTGTCCATTCTCGCACCTAATCTTGGGGTAATGCAAATATTACGATTTGCAAAGTTTGAAGAAAATCAAATAATCCGTTATCTTTATATGCGGTGAACTATTTTCAATGAAATTTTTGAACATTTGTGGGGGAGGTACCTGAAGGAGTGGACCGATATTGCCCATCTCCGAACTCGATCTAAGTTTGACAAAAATATTACGATGCACCAAGTTTGGACCAAATCGGATACTCCCTTCGAGAGTTATCGTGCCCACCAGCCAGCCAGACAGACGGACATCGCTAGATCGACTCCAAATGTCCTGAAACGGATTTGGTCCAAAGAGACCTAGGGTCTAAAACCGTTATTTCGACTAGGCACGTTTTGACCGTATCAAATGATATATACCCTCTTTAGCCATATGGCTGAGGGTATAAAAAAGTACGTTTGAGGAAAACATATTAACAAAAGTAAGCAAAGGCTATAGGAAGACGGGGCCTACCATGTCATACCATGCACCATTACTTCCGTACATTGACGATTAAAAAACTATAAACATAAATAAATGAATGCATTAGACTGTAAATCTATCATCGACATTTGGCATCCATTTATAAGCCAAAAGTTCCTTTTCCAAATATAAATCACAAATTGTATCCCCTGAAAACAAGAAAGAAAAGGGTCAGTCGGCTAAACGACTGGGATATACCCTCAGCATTAGTCTGAAAAATGACTAATATAACGACCATAAGCAAAAAAGTTAAAATATACTAGGTCAGCAAAATGTAGCAAAAACTTCTAAATATATAAAATAGGGCGACACCTAAAATGGGGGCCAATTCAATTATGGACCTAAGTCCATACTTTTTAACGGAAGCGTGTTTAGTCCATTGGGAACCCTAATGGTCAAAATAGAACAGTTTTCGTTGACATATGAATCAAAAATCCTAAAAATCGGGCGGTATCGTTGTGTGGGGTCAAAATAGAACTGTTTTCATCGAAAAATGAAGCTAAAATCTCTAAAATACTGAAAATAGGGCAGTATTGTTGTGTGGAGGATATGTCAAAACGTGGACCGATATTGGGCATTTTCAAACTTAAACTAAGTTTGGACAAAAAACTACCGTGCACCAAATTCGGGCCAGATCGGGCAGACACACGGACGGACATGGCTAAATCGAATCCAAATTGCCTGAAACGGATTTCGTCTTAGCATATGTGGCGTCTAAAACCATTATTTCGAGTAGGCACATTCTCATCGTATCAGGGTTTAAACGATATACCTTCTGTAGGCAAAATGATGACCTAGACTTATCTCTAGTTTAGTGAAAGAGTTGCAATGGTAGAAATTGGTGTCCTGATCACAGAAAAGGCTACCCGGGTATTTGACACAAAAGTTCGGGTTAAAAAACCAGTTTTCCGGAACTGATTACTTCAATATGGGTATCGTTGGAAAGCTTATGAAAATAACTTTCGAACAAGAAGTAAAATGTGGCCAAAGGTCGACCACCTGAAAAAAGGGTGTTGGGTATAAAATCAAGTTTGAAGACAACATATTCTTTAAAAATCGATATTTCAGGAAAACATATTCCTCAAATATCCACTCCACTTTAAATGTCAAATTACAGCCCATTCTGTGGTTAAATGTGCTCACAGACTGTAAGATACTTAAGTTTTTTTGGGCGCGTTATGAACTATTCAAAATATTGGACTAATAGATTGCAAAATGCAAATATGCACACACACACTGGAAAATACTTTGAAACAATGGTTCAAGTTTTTGGCGCGCTTTCTGGGGTCTATGGCAAATTTTGGACCTATGTCCACAAGTTTTGACTGGAATGTTGTAGACTCATGAAACCTTAACTATTTAACTTACCCATGTCGAATTGTGCTCCCCCCAAATGTAAAAATTAGCATTTCTAACTTCGTCGCTTCTTAAGACGTATGGGGGGGCTACACCAAAATTTCGACATATGTTGCTAAGTAGACCCCTTAAATGCAAAATTAGAGTGCACGCGACAATAATAAACGAGCATGTAGACCCAAGAAACCTTGAATTTCAAATAACAGACAATTTTCTTTAATAAGAAGGCTACTAATACTTTGTTCTTCTGCAAAAAAATACGACTTACGTTTTCCTCTCTATATAATACGATTAAACTCTTTCTTCTGTATATAATATGACTTTTGTTGTCGTCTTCTGTAATGAAGACTGTCTTCGTTTTTTCTTCGTTATAGAAGGGGCCTAAGTAAAAATTTTCTAACCTGCCTTGATTTTAGTGTCTACTTTCATATCGTTATGACAAACATCTCCTTTGATTTACTATGTTTTCTCTGGTAGAGAAATATTAAGCATGAAAATTGGGATCCAAAAAATCATTTTTCTGAAAAACTTAGGAATTACTGTCAATTCAATGTTCTTCAACCTTCTCATGAAATTATTATTAGGATAATAATTTAGGATTAGGATAATCAAATGAATTTTGATCCGCGTGAAGAAAAGTAGTGTAGGTTATCAGTAGACAACGGAATTTTATTTTTATTATGAATTAGACTCAAGTTTTGGGACGGAGCATTTTTTGATTCTAAGTAAATTGTTATAGAAACTGATTGTACAGTAAGAAATTCCAAACTTTTATATATTTTTTGCTGGGAAAAATACTTAAAAAATCAACACTTAAAGGTAACAAAATAAAAGTTCTCAAATATACAGTAGACTCTCACAATTTCTAATGATGGATTTTGCTCTATTTATCAGTTCCTGAATAATAAAATATGTGAAAATCAACTGTATATATTGTAATTGTCAGTTGTTCATATAAACACTATGTTTATTGCAAACATAAATTTAAAAAAATTAATTTAATTTAAAAGAAACGTTTAAAATTCATATGATGATTTATATAAAGTGTTTTCTTTCGATATTATTAAATATTTTATATATTTATAATACAGTTAGAGTTATAGTGCAATTTTATTGCACTCTTAATTTTAAATAAACATTTGAAGTTTTTATATTTGTGTATAAATAAAGCGGTTTGTATTAAATTATATGACTTATTTTTGTTTATATAAGTATACATTTATAATTATATTATAATGTGTATAATAATTTACTATAAGACCTAATGGAAAAATTGTTGGTCAAATATTTTGTATCTACAATATGAAATTAATACAAGATTTAGTGCACATTGTGCATATATTAATTTAACAACATTGCATTGTAAAATAACTACCCGAAAAGGGTTTTGGAAAATTATTGTTGAAGAGATTGCTGTAATGAAAGAAAAATTTCATCATTAATATCTTTATTAAAATCATTAATATCATCATTAATATCAACCTTAATTTTTTTTGCCTTTTTTCCTTTTGTTGTCTATAAACGTTTTTACTTGTGCTGGGGTTCTGCAGCATAGCACTTCATTTTCAGACACGACCCTCATGCACTCCTTGAGAGATGGCAACTTTTCCATTGAAGAAATATCCCCAAATTCAGCAGTCAAAGCTTCTTGCTCATCGATTGTCCACCGGCATTTTTTTGTTTTTCCGCAAGAAGTATCTGTAAAAATTTCACAATAATCATTTCATAAGCCTAAAACAGATGTAACAAACATCCTATTTAATAATGTCAAATGAAAATGAATGCGAACAAAAGATTAAAGTCGTTTAAGAATATAACAGTTTTATCTTTCTTCATTAGCATTCATTTTTTTCGGCATAGCACAGTGAAAAATTGCACACGAAAAACCTGATCAAAACCAAATGCAATATAAATTATGCAAACAAATATGTACTCCAAATTTATTTTTGATTAGAAAATCTAATATAAAAATATTTAAAACAAGTAATGTACTCTGTTTATATATATTGGAAACAACTAACCGATTTAAAATATAATAGAAAAAATAGTTTGTATTGGCCTTGTTCCAGAACCTGCAAGAATCTACTAGTTTTGCAATTTTTTCCGATATCGTAAAGAGGAAATCGGTTAAGGTAGTAAAAACTTTAACATTCCTGCATTTCTGGAACAGACCAATTATTATTGCATTTGTGATTAATCTGTAAAATGTCAAATCGGCCATGATATCAAATCTTTACTGGATTTTAAATAAGGCAATTTGGGGAGTTTGAAAGTGCCGGTAGCATAATCTAAAAAATATTTGTACTGTACTTTAAATAATTTTGTGAGTGGACCAAAAAGGCCACATTAATACTCAGTAGGAGGGTTAAGTGAAATGAAATATAAAATCAGGAATACAAAAAAAAAAAAAAAAATTAAAGCTAGATCATAATGCATTTGATTTTGGTCATGGTTTTCGGTAAATTAACCACTGTGTATTTTGAAACATAAGTCTACGCAAGCTTAGTTATAGTTTCTACTCAATATACTTACTATCAAGTTTCTTATTGTAGGTACTACTAGTCTTCCTATTATACTTACTACTAATTTTCTTTTTTACCAAATTTGCGCCATATGTAATATTATCTGATTCATCAGATGATGACTCAGATTCGGAAGATATGTTTCCACGAAGATTATCAAAACTATTATTTTCGGAGTTTTCCTCATTCCTACAACCAGCAGCTAACAGCAAAATCTTGGACACTGTACTGATTTCCGCCATTGGTACCGATACTCTATAAATACTTTTGTGTATATCCTTATGGTGCCCAAGAAAATTTGCTAGCTTATCCACTGTGGCTTCTTCAACGTTTAGCAAAGCTGTATACGTTGCTATATGCTTCCTTAATTTAGTTCCTCTTAATGTGTGAGGAATAGTAGCCCCACACTCTAAGGCAAACTTGCGTAATAACGGGCAAGCTCTTATATATTTTTTTGATATTCCTGATGATCCGGGAGCCGAGAAAATATAGTGATTTGATTTCGGGATTCCGGCACTGTTGCGATGCTTTAATATAAGGTCAACTGCCTTTCTACTTAAAGGATCCAGCAATATGCTGACAGTACGTCCTAATTTGCCTCTTAGGGTAATTCTTACATACTGTTTAGCGAATTCAAAAGATTGGTTAGAAATATTATCAATAAATCCAGCTTCTATATTGTCAGTAATAGTTTCCTTCTTATTGTAGTTTTCAATAGTTATTCTCTCGATCTCACCGGCTCGTCGTCGATTGAACACTTGTAGACATATTAGAGTAGTTTCCAAAAGATTTTTCCAATCATCAAAGATAAATTGTTTAGTTAATGTAGCTATAGAATATACCATTTTGGTTCTTAGAAAATCATAAAGTTGTTTGATATCTTTTTTGTTTGGCAAATCTTCCTTCTTAGATCTTTTTTTGTTTTCTCTATCTTCAATAGCTGTTTTATTTATTTGAGTGGGAGTCTCTTCAACCCACAATGAAACAAAATTGTCCAAAAGGTCTTTCATATCAATATTTTGATTTTTTATGAACTCATTCTTTTGTATGTTAGCACATTTTTTATCAAACCAGATAAGTTGGTGGCAACTGCTGGAGTAAAAACGCCCGACCAAACTCCCACTTTGCAGTTTTGCGTAATGCTTCAATTGTCATATCAAACAAATGTGGCTTAAAAATTTCCTTCAACTCCTTTATTTCAGGATGTAATTTTATGCACTCAATTTTGAATCGACCCAAGAGTCTCATGTTCGCTCGGATTTGATCATGGTGGTGAATATCAGGTAACTTTTCGGATAACCTGTTGCCGTATCTAATTATTAGTTCGTCATACCGAATGGCCTGTGTAATTTCATCGTTTCGTAGAACGGGAAAAATCGCTGTTTTCATTTCTGTGTTTGCCAATTCGTGTACGTATTGAGTGATTTTCCTACCTTTTTTTCCTACCTTTTCCGTTTATTTTTTTTATTAGAGCATTTACTAATATCAGTTCTTGCCGAAGTGATGCTATAATACCCTTTACAGTGGACGCAGCATACGTAGTGGTCTGCTTTATGGTATGCTTCTGATTGTTGTCGTCTTGTAACGATAAGTGAACCTGTATTTTTATCATGAGCGGTATTATGTATAAAATCTCCTTCTTTTCGGAGCTTATCAAATATTTCTCTGCGTTTTCGGTTTCCTTTTGGTAAGGCCATTGCCATTTTAACCATATTCTCCTTTTTGTGCCTCAAACAAAAGTGTCCTGCAATCTTACATTGTAAGGCTTTGCAAAACACACAGAAATGTTGCTTTGATTTTTGCTTCGAAAATGGTACTGTCAAAACATCGACTTTTACTGGTTTAGGTATAACCTCTATGAAGGAGCTCACATTTGTGCTATTGCTGTTGTTGCTAGAATCGGGGGGTAGAAATTCTGACGTAGAGTTTCCTGGCAAAGTTTCGATTGTAGAATTTATTGTGCTTATATCCGTAAAACCTACACAGTCACTGGTTTCTTGTAGTTCAATTGCCGTTGAGTTTTTGAAGTGGAATTGATCTGTAGTCCACATTTCAGGGGACTTTCTATTAGATATTACTCTCCATGACGATTCTTCTAATCTGTCCAATGACAATAGCGGCGACCTAATTCCGCTAGTTGATCCTGTTTCCTGTAGTTTTTGTGGTTTTTTACGGATGTGTAACCAGAAACGTTGTGTATTACCATACCATTTGAGTCAGGTGGTAGACAATCGGACGAAAAGTCTTCTGATTGAGTTTCAATTGTAGAATTTATTTTGCATCCGTGGTATACAAAGTATTATTGGTTACTTTGTGTTCAATTGCGGTCGAGTTTTTTATACAGCTAAGGTTAATATTCTGCATTTCTATATATTCTTCAGGATAATTTCTATTAGATATAGTGCACAAAGACGATTCTTTTAATATGTCAGCTGATGACAATGGCTGCGACTTTTTTATTCCTTGTTCTTTTCGTGGGGTTTCTTCAGACAACCCCAAAGAATTAATTGCTACAGTTTCCCTAACTTCGTTTTCTGGTTCATCAGTTGTTGACCTCTCCCATTCAGTGCATATTTCCACAGTAAAACCTTGAATATATGCTTTAGATGGACAATTTAAGTCCATTGATTTTTCTAATAGCTCTGTTGATGAACAAATTTCTGATGGATCTGAATTATTTTTTGATTTTTCTTCCGATTTACTATTTTTGATGTCCGGCGGTAAAATTGCATTTTCTTTTATTTGCTTTTGTTTAAAAAGTTGTAATTTGTCATCTACAAAAATATACTATGTTAAAACTTTCCCCAAATATATATTTCTATATTTGAAATCAAATTTGATTCCAAAAAAACAATGCTAGGACTAATTAATAACTTCATCATCACCATGATTTTTCAATAAACAGTAATTATATCTATTATAAAAATTATATAGCTATTTTTGTTAACTTACCGCTAGTCGAAATTAATTTAGCTGCATATTTTCCGCCTTTACATTTCACCACACACGTACCTCCTTGGATTTGTGTTATAGATTTGGAATTTACGACACAAAATTCTGAATCGTCATATGTGATCAAGGAGAATTTAAATAATCTATAATAAAAAAATATTTAGTATCAATTATTTTTGATAGATATTTTTAGTTTTATTTTTAAAACGTTTCTTGCTTCTCCCATAAACTTATGGTTTTTTGGGCTAAGTATGCTTACCTTGATAAATCAAATTGTCCTCTTGATATAGTTTCAAAAGATGAAAAATCTGTCGTATTATTCTCTTCCGAATCCGATGCGTTATTTTCACCATGTATAGTGACTGAAGACATAGGCTCTTTATCTGATCTGTTTGATCCTAGTGGAGGTAGATTTTTTATATACTCTTTCATGTATAACATTGTCGACGGTGAAATATTTTGATAAGCACGACCACGGCTCGCAGGAATTCTTGGTGCTATTTGTGTTTCTTGATTCTCCGCGTTTATTGTCCCCATTAAATTCTCACTTTGTTTCTTCTCTTCAAGATTTTCTTTATTATCTATGAAAATTAATGTATTAATATTTTAGTCCTGGTAACGTTCTAATATAAAATCTAACTCTAATGTATTCTACGGAACTCTACAAAACTCCGACGGATATAATCTTGAGTTTTACTTAATTCGGTTAGTAAGTAAAACATTTTCCTTTGACGCTTTTTAGACTTTTACAGTCATATTGTTTCTTGTGTTTAATTATGAAAAAATGGCGCCTGTGATGCTTTAAGTTTATTTTTATTTATTTTTTGGACAAAGTAGCACGATCTAAATGATCGTTTTTCTATTTTGTGACCAAATTTGTTCCAGAAATTTTACAAATATTTTTGGAAATAAAATTCGAGCAATATTTATAAAATTCCGACGCGGGTTTGAAAATTATATTATTTCTTATTCACCTGCAGTGATTTTTTTCTTAAAAATCATTTTTACATATTTTAGCAATAATTTTTCATACCCTTTGCATGCTGACAAGGACATGCGATGAAAAAAAGTTATTATCATGATTTCACAATATACAGGCATGTCATGGAAACTAATGTGTCGCATAGACACATAATTTATATTCTTATTTAAAAAAAACGGCTTAATTATTTGAATATGTTTTGTATATTAAATTGTATTAACTTACCGTCAGCTTTAATGAAAGTTGCGGAGTACGAACAGCCTTTATACTTTACAATACAATTGTCGGAATTGTGATGCTTCACGTCTTTTGTTTTGACAACATAGAAGTCACCGTCATTGTCAAACTTTACTAGGGAAAACATGTTGAACTAAAAAAAAAACTTTCAACGAAATTTTAAAAAATTAACTAATAAAATAAAAGTTTTAAGTTTTGTTTTATAGAGAGGGTTATTTTACATCTATTGAAGAATACGTAAAATTAAAGTAAAAAAAATTGGGACTAATAATTATTATAGATTCATTTTCAAATACGCGTCTTCAATCTTTTCTTCCTTTACAAAAAATAATTTAACGATAAAATATGCTAAGCAGAGCATAAACATACTCTGTGTTTCTTGCACGAATTCGATCGGAAAGCGAAACTGGAGCAATCGCTCTCACTTTTTGATCGCTTCCTCGAGCGAGTAATAATCGCTCGCAAGCAAATCGGAACTCTGAATTAAGCAAAAGTAAAAAAATTCCGATTTGAATTCATTTTCACCCAATATGGCTAAGTCCATATACTTTTGGGTCCACTGTTGTCCCATTTGGAGGTGTGAGATTTCTGAATTCGCCATCAAAAATGGGATTAGACCACCCAATCTATTATTCCCTAAATATATTCCAACGTCAGAAAAAAATGCGATTTGTAGTCACTCAATATGGCTAAGTTCATATACTTTCGGATTTTCAACACTACTCCTTCATTTACTATTAAATTATACCTTATATAGTACTTTTCCAACAGTAATGGTACCCTTTTTTCAAAACATTTCCATATATCCATCTAACACAACATTTCGATTTGCATCTCTACCATATTCAGTACTTTTGCAACTCTTATGATACTCCTTTTCCAAAAGATCTCTACCTTTCCACCCTAACACAAAATTACGAATTTCCACCTCCACTCATTATATTTACGTTCGAATTGTACATTATTAAGTACTTTTTGGTCAATTATGGTACTCGTTTTTTAAAACATCTCCATATATCCACCCACCTTTCTCTACTCAACAATTATATCCTATTTAGAAGTATTCCAACACTTATTGCTCTCGTTTTCCAAAACTTCTTTATATAACTATAGAGAGCTTTCCATTATTGATTCTCATACCAAATTCGACGATTCTAGATCCATTCATTCATAACATACGAATAGTAACATTTAAAGTACATATTAGAAGTTTTCGTACCCTTTTGGTACAAATTTCCAAAAACGATTTGTCACATCTATCCTACACACCATCGGTGACGCTGTATCCAAATTGCAGAGCTGTAGCTCTTCTCGGTTGCTTTTCGTACCCTTCCAAACGTCAAAAATCCAGCCTTAGAACTCACCTACAGCCCAACATCAACCCGGACGGAGCCGACTATATGACACCCTACACCACTGCTGTTATGTGCACAAAATTGCATTGGGTTTTTATAGCCTTCACTCGACCTTATGTGTCAAATTTCATGCCTTTTGGGCTAATTTGCACATTTGGTGCACAATGCATCAAAACTCGGATGAAGTTATATATGGGAGCTATATCTGAATCAGATCCGATTTTCACCAAATTTCATAGAGTTAATTCTTGGTGTACACCGACTACATGTGCTAAAGTTCATCCCCTTTGGGCTGATATTGCACAGGCTGTGCACAATAAACAAAAAATCGGATCAAGATATATGTGGGAGCTATATCTAAATCACATCCGATTTTCACCAAATCCCGCAGAGTTAATTCTTGGTGTACATCGGCTACATTTGCCAAATTTCATCCCATTTGGGGTATTATTGCACAGGTTGTGCACAATAAACCAAAAATCGGATGAAGATATATATGGGAGCTATATCTAAATCTGATCCAAACCAAACAAACATTGTTTGCAAAATTACATCTCAATCGGATAATAAATACGACCTGCATTTTGTTCACAAGAATACCTGGACGGACATGCATAAATCGATTTAAAAAATGATTCTATGAATACCTTCAAAAGTAACCATGGGTCTATCTCGCTTATTTCTCTCTGTTACCAACAAATTCACAAATACATAATACCCTTACCACTATGTGGTGTAGGGTATAAACACATTCTATTAAAATTTCGGTTTTAACACTTAGGCAGAAAAGGAAACTTGTTGAACTAAATTTTAATAACAGCAGCATTTGGGGTAGTTTGGACCAGGAAAGGCTGAATTATTTACACAAAACAAGTAAATAAGCAGCCAATTTCGGCCGGGCCGAACCTTTAATACCCTCCATCATTTAGAAGGAATTTGAAATTTTAAAAAATCCGTCGAAAAATAAAGCTAAAATGAAAAAATACAGAATATCGGGAGATACCGTTATATGGGGGCTAAGCGAAGATGTGGACCTGCATAGATAGGTTGTAGTACCCATTGCGAATATTAAATGCGAAATTTGAAACAATTCTGGCGAAAATGTCGCTAAAATCACCAAAATACCGAACATCGGGAGGTACCGTTATATGGGGGCTATCCGAAGATGTGGATCTGCGTAGATATTTTACTGGCATAGGTTGTAGTACCCATTGCGAATATTAAATGCGAAATTTGAAACAATTCCGGTGAAAAATGTCGCTAAAATCACCAAAATACCGAACATCGGGAGGTACCGTTATATGGGGGCTATCCGAAGATGTGGACCTACATAGGCCATTTTCTGTCATAGGTTGTAGTACCCATTGCGAAAATTAAATACGAAATTTGAAACAATTCCGGTGAAAAATGTCGCTAAAATCATCAAAATACCGAATATCGGGAGGTACCGTTATATGGGGGCTATCCGAAGATGTGGATCTGCGTAGATATTTTACTGGCATAGGTTGTAGTACCCATTGAGAAAATTAAATACGAAATTTGAAACAATTCCGGTGAAAAATGTCGCTAAAATCATCAAAATACCGAATATCGGGAGGTACCGTTATATAGGGGCTATCCGAAGATGTGGATCTGCGTAGATATTTTACTGGCATAGGTTGTAGTACCCATTGCGAATATTAAATGCGAAATTTGAAACAATTCCGGTGAAAAATGTCGCTAAAATCACCAAAATACCGAACATCGGGAGGTACCGTTATATGGGGGCTATCCGAAGATGTGGACCTACATAGTCCATTTTCTGTCATAGGTTGTAGTACCCATTGCGAAAATTAAATACGAAATTTGAAACAATTCCGGTGAAAAATGTCGCTAAAATCACCAAAATACCGAACATCGGGAGGTACCGTTATATGGGGGCTATCCGAAGATGTGGACCTACATAGTCCATTTTCTGTCATAGGTTGTAGTACCCATTGCGAAAATTAAATACGAAATTTGAAACAATTCCGGTGAAAAATGTCGCTAAAATCATCAAAATACCGAATATCGGGAGGTACCGTTATATGGGGGCTATCCGAAGATGTGGATCTGCGTAGATATTTTACTGGCATAGGTTGTAGTACCCATTGAGAAAATTAAATACGAAATTTGAAACAATTCCGGTGAAAAATGTCGCTAAAATCATCAAAATACCGAATATCGGGAGGTACCGTTATATAGGGGCTATCCGAAGATGTGGATCTGCGTAGATATTTTACTGGCATAGGTTGTAGTACCCATTGCGAATATTAAATGCGAAATTTGAAACAATTCCGGTGAAAAATGTCGCTAAAATCACCAAAATACCGAACATCGGGAGGTACCGTTATATGGGGGCTATCCGAAGATGTGGACCTACATAGTCCATTTTCTGTCATAGGTTGTAGTACCCATTGCGAAAATTAAATACGAAATTTGAAACAATTCCGGTGAAAAATGTCGCTAAAATCACCAAAATACCGAACATCGGGAGGTACCGTTATATGGGGGCTATCCGAAGATGTGGACCTACATAGGCCATTTTCTGTCATAGGTTGTAGTACCCATTGTGAAAATTAAATACGAAATTTGAAACAATTCCGGTGAAAAATGTCGCTAAAATCATCAAAATACCGAATATCGGGAGGTACCGTTATATGGGGGCTATCCGAAGATGTGGATCTGCGTAGATATTTTACTGGCATAGGTTGTAGTACCCATTGAGAAAATTAAATACGAAATTTGAAACAATTCCGGTGAAAAATGTCGCTAAAATCATCAAAATACCGAATATCGGGAGGTACCGTTATATAGGGGCTATCCGAAGATGTGGATCTGCGTAGATATTTTACTGGCATAGGTTGTAGTACCCATTGCGAAAATTAAATACGAAATTTGAAACAATTCCGGTGAAAAATTTTGCTAAAATCATCAAAATACCGAATATCGGGAGGTACCGTTATATGGGGGCTATACGAAGACGTCGACCTATATGGCCCATTTTCAATGCCAAAAGTCCTGCACACATTATATACATCTGAGCAAAATTTCATCAACCTATGTCATTTCGTTCGGAAGCAAGAGTGATTTCCACAGACGGACGGACGGACGGACATCGATAAATCGACATAGAATTTTACGCTGATCAAGAATATATATACTTTGTGGGGTCTCTCTCTCTATGAGGTTTTGAATGTCGCGCCGTACGAACTCCGCGATAAGAGTCGGCCTATATATGGATCGTGTGCACTGATCATAAGAGTGAATGCACTTATATGTGCATTATTTTGTTTGATTGAATTTAGCCTTGCCTGGTCCCAATTACCCCAAATGCTGCTGTTATTAAAACTTAGTTCAACAAGTTTCCTTTTCTGCCTAAGTGTTAAAATCGAAACTTTAATAGAAAGTGTTTTTATACCCTCCGCCATACTATGGAGGGTATATTAAGTTTGTCATTCCGTTTGTAACTCCTCGAAATTCTCATGTTAGACCCCACAAAGTGTATATATTTTGGATCATCGTAAAATTCTAAGTCGATTTATCGATGTCCGTCTGTCTGTCTGTTGTAATTACGCTATCATTCGAACGAAATGAGATAGAAGGCTAAAATTTTGCACACATGTTTATTTTGTCAGTAGGCATGTTAAGTTCGTTCATGTCGGCCCACGTTTTCGTATAGCTCCCATATAACTGTACCTCCCAATATTCGGTATTTCGATGATTTAAGCTACATATTAACCGGAACTGTTCCAAATTTCGTATATGAAGTTCGGAATAGGTTCTACAGCATATGACACAAAATTGCACATTCAGGTCCACGGCTTCGTATAGCACCCATATAACGGTACATCCCGATATTCGGTATTTTGATGATTTTAGCGACATTATTAACCGGAACTGTTCCAAATTTCGTATTTGAAGTCCGAAATGGGTATTACAGCCTATGATAGAAAATTGCCTATGCTGGTCCCCGTTTCCGTATAGCCCCCATACATCGGTACCTCCCGAATTTCGGTATTTTGAAAGTTTCTGCCACAATCAACATTGATAAACATAGTGGTTAAGGGTATAAATAGTTCGGCACGGCCGAAATTACTACTTACTGTCTTAACGATTTTCTTCATTTAAAACCTCACCTGCGCTTCTATGACTTTAAACAAATCAACATAGTGGACAACGAGAACCAGCAATAAAAAAGAGGACACATAAAGTACGTTAATAAAATATGGAACGCAAACCAAAAAAAGTACTGTTCACTATAATAGAGTAAACTAATTTTACGCTGATCAAGAATATATATACTTTGTGGGGTCTAAAATGTATATTTCGAGGTGTTACAAACGGAATGACAAACTTAATATACCCTCCATACTATGTATGGTGGAGGGTATAATAATGCATATATAAGTGCATGGACTCCCGCAAACACAAAGACATAAATAAGACTTATGAGCAGAGCACCCGGTTTGTGATATTCTGGTCAGGAATTTAAATAAAGATTTTTTGGGTGTTAGACAGGTGGGTTTCCACTATTCAAGTGTAGCTCCAAATAATTTACATTTATTTTTGTCCTATATGGGGTCGCAACTTTTCAGCCGATGTACTCTATTTTCAACCAAAATTATTGGTCACCGAAAGTATATGGGAAATAACCATATGCATATTTAAGAACAACACAACAGTGTTTTGTTTCTTTTAAGAACAATAATCCAAAATTTTTATCACTGTTTTATAACATAATTTGGATGTTGATAAATTGATCAAAACACACATTAATACGCAAAAAGCAAAAAAGTTTGTACTCAAATCATGAATTTCAATAAACTCTTGAAGACAAGCAGCATATGGGCACTCGTCATTTCCATGATTTTCTTCTTTTGATCCAATGATTTCAGGTACTCCAAGCGAAGTGTTTCTTAAATTCCGCACAATTGTAGGTAGTTTTTTAAACATGAAAAAATCTGCAAAAGTAAAATGTTTAATAATTGTAAACGATGATCTACGAACGTGTACTTACACTTTCCATTGAATTTTGATGAACTGAGCTTCCTGGCATTTGATTTCATTTTACTCCTCAGGTAAGCAAGATTTTCATTGTGAGAAACACTGCAAATGGTCAATATTTTCCAAACATTATCCATTTACGTTGATTTTGTTCTAATGTTAAAATAAAATTATTGTATAGGGAACACGAAATTGATTTTGTTCTTTGTTTTGCTATTTAATTCGATTTTGAGTAACAGGGATATGGAAATATATTTTCGACATAAGGTGTGTCTGGTTACCCTAAAGTTTGTAACAATTGTTACAAATTGTTACTGGAAGTCGTCTGTTAACCCGAAAGTTCTGCAAAAGAGAGCGGTTGGAGAGAGGAATTTTGACAGTTCTTTCAGCTAGAGTTTGCAAATTCTTGCTGGAAAAATTTCTTCTTGCAATCTCTTGCAACTCTTCTTCTTCTCATTCATCGACATTCAATCAGATTGTTTATTTACTTCTTTTTGTGATTTTAGTTTTAAAATATTGTTTTGGAATAAGCAAGACTAATTGTTTTTGGAGAACAACTTTACAAAATGTGAAAAACGTAAATGTTAATATGTAATAAGAAAATAAAAGACTATTTCCAACATTTTTATTTAAAAAACTTGTAAAATTAGTATTGGTTCCTTTGTTTTAATTCTCCTTATGGGGGACAAATTGGTTTGTTTTGATAAATCAGCTGATTAGTTGCAAGCTTCTGCAGGAATATCGTCTGTTTACTTTTCGCATTTTCCTTGCAAAAGAGAATAAACTACCTTACTCTCTCAGAAAGAAGTTGCTGGACAATTCTTGCTGGAAAAGTAACCAGACACACCTATAATGTAGCACGACCAATGACATCAACGATCACCGTTTGTATGTTTGATGCAGGGCCGCGGTTACATAATGTTGTGTCGAAAGTCGATACAATCTCAAAATCGAATCGATAAATAGCAAAAGAAGAGAACAAAATCAATTTATTGCTCCCTATACAATAATTTTATTTGAAAGGGCGCGAAGTAATAAACAAAACATTGGAACAAAATATACGTAAATGGATAACGTTTGAAAAATATTGACCATTTACAGTGTTTTTCACAATGAAAATCTTGCTTACCTGAGGAGTAAAATAAAATCAAATGCCAGGAGGCCCAGTTCATCGAAATTCAAATGGAAAGTTTAAGTGCATGTTCGTTGATCATCGTTTGCAAATATTAAGCATTTTTCTTTTGCAGGTTTTTTATATTTGTTAAAAACTACCTACACCTTGTGCGGAATTTAAGGAACACTTCATTAATGTGTGTTTTGATCAATTTTTCAATAACATCCAAATTATGTTTTAAAAACAGTAATAATATTTTATGAATATTTATTAGTAAAATAAAACCAAAAATTTTTGTGTTGTTTTTAAAAATGTATATGGTTATTTCATCTATTCTTACGGTGACCAACATTTTTGGTTGAAAATAGAGTACATTTAGACATCGACTCAAAAGTTGTGACCCCATGTAGGACAAAAATAAATGTAAATTATTTGGAATAGTGGAAAGCCTACCTGTCTGGCACGGATTTAAATTCCTGACCAGAATATCACAAACCTCTCTCTATGAGGTTTTGAATGTCGCGCCGTACGAACTCCGCGATAAGAGTCGGCCTATATATGGATCGTGTGCACTGATCATAAGAGTGAATGCACTTATATGTGCATTATTTTGTTTGATTGAATTTAGCCTTGCCTGGTCCCAATTACCCCAAATGCTGCTGTTATTAAAACTTAGTTCAACAAGTTTCCTTTTCTGCCTAAGTGTTAAAATCGAAACTTTAATAGAAAGTGTTTTTATACCCTCCGCCATACTATGGAGGGTATATTAAGTTTGTCATTCCGTTTGTAACTCCTCGAAATTCTCATGTTAGACCCCACAAAGTATATATATTTTGGATCATCGTAAAATTCTAAGTCGATTTATCGATGTCCGTCTGTCTGTCTGTTGTAATTACGCTATCATTCGAACGAAATGAGATAGAAGGTTAAAATTTTGCACACATGTTTATTTTGTCAGTAGGCATGTTAAGTTCGTAAATGGGCCATGTCGGCCCACGTTTTCGTATAGCTCCCATATAACTGTACCTCCCAATATTCGGTATTTCGATGATTTAAGCTACATATTAACCGGAACTGTTCCAAATTTCGTATATGAAGTTCGGAATAGGTTCTACAGCATATGACACAAAATTGCACATTCAGGTCCACGGCTTCGTATAGCACCCATATAACGGTACATCCCGATATTCGGTATTTTGATGATTTTAGCGACATTATTAACCGGAACTGTTCCAAATTTCGTATTTGAAGTCCGAAATGGGTATTACAGCCTATGATAGAAAATTGCCTATGCTGGTCCCCGTTTCCGTATAGCCCCCATACATCGGTACCTCCCGAATTTCGGTATTTTGAAAGTTTCTGCCACAATCAACATTGATAAACATAGTGGTTAAGGGTATAAATAGTTCGGCACGGCCGAAATTACTACTTACTGTCTTAACGATTTTCTTCATTTAAAACCTCACCTGCGCTTCTATGACTTTAAACAAATCAACATAGTGGACAACGAGAACCAGCAATAAAAAAGAGGACACATAAAGTACGTTAATAAAATATGGAACGCAAACCAAAAAAAGTACTGTTCACTATAATAGAGTAAACTTATTTTACGCTGATCAAGAATATATATACTTTGTGGGGTCTAAAATGTATATTTCGAGGTGTTACAAACGGAATGACAAACTTAATATACCCTCCATACTATGTATGGTGGAGGGTATAATAATGCATATATAAGTGCATGGACTTCCGCAAACACAAAGACATAAATAAGACTTATGAGCAGAGCACCCGGTTTGTGATATTCTGGTCAGGAATTTAAATAAAGATTTTTTGGGTGTTAGACAGGTGGGTTTCCACTATTCAAGTGTAGCTCCAAATAATTTACATTTATTTTTGTCCTATATGGGGTCGCAACTTTTCAGCCGATGTACTCTATTTTCAACCAAAATTATTGGTCACCGAAAGTATATGGGAAATAACCATATGCATTTTTAAGAACAACACAACAGTGTTTTGTTTCTTTTAAGAACAATAATCCAAAATTTTTTATCACTGTTTTATAACATAATTTGGATGTTGATAAATTGATCAAAACACACATTAATACGCAACAAGCAAAAAAGTTTGTACTCAAATCATGAATTTCAATAAACTCTTGAAGACAAGCAGCATATGGGCACTCGTCATTTCCATGATTTTCTTCTTTTGATCCAATGATTTCAGGTACTCCAAGCGAAGTGTTTCTTAAATTCCGCACAATTGTAGGTAGTTTTTAAACATGAAAAAATCTGCAAAAGTAAAATGTTTAATAATTGTAAACGATGATCTACGAACGTGTACTTACACTTTCCATTGAATTTTGATGAACTGAGCTTCCTGGCATTTGATTTCATTTTACTCCTCAGGTAAGCAAGATTTTCATTGTGAGAAACACTGCAAATGGTCAATATTTTCCAAACATTATCCATTTACGTTGATTTTGTTCTAATGTTAAAATAAAATTATTGTATAGGGAACACGAAATTGATTTTGTTCTTTGTTTTGCTATTTAATTCGATTTTGAGTAACAGGGTTATGGAAATATATTTTCGACATAAGGTGTGTCTGGTTACCCTAAAGTTTGTAACAATTGTTACAAATTGTTACTGGAAGTCGTCTGTTAACCCGAAAGTTCTGCAAAAGAGAGCGGTTGGAGAGAGAAATTTTGACAGTTCTTTCAGCTAGAGTTTGCAAATTCTTGCTGGAAAAATTTCTTCTTGCAATCTCTTGCAACTCTTCTTCTTCTCATTCATCGACATTCAATCAGATGTTTTCTATTGTTTATTTACTTCTTTTTGTGATTTTAGTTTTAAAATATTGTTTTGGAATAAGCAAGACTAATTGTTTTTGGAGAACAACTTTACAAAATGTGAAAAACGTAAATGTTAATATGTAATAAGAAAATAAAAGACTATTTCCAACATTTTTATTTAAAAAACTTGTAAAATTAGTATTGGTTCCTTTGTTTTAATTCTCCTTATGGGGGACAAATTGGTTTGTTTTGATAAATCAGCTGATTAGTTGCAAGCTTCTGCAGGAATATCGTCTGTTTACTTTTCGCATTTTCCTTGCAAAAGAGAATAAACTACCTTACTCTCTCAGAAAGAAGTTGCTGGACAATTCTTGCTGGAAAAGTAACCAGACACACCTATAATGTAGCACGACCAATGACATCAACGATCACCGTTTGTATGTTTGATGCAGGGCCGCGGTTACATAATGTTGTGTCGAAAGTCGATACAATCTCAAAATCGAATCGATAAATAGCAAAAGAAGAGAACAAAATCAATTTATTGCTCCCTATACAATAATTTTATTTGAAAGGGCGCGAAGTAATAAACAAAACATTTGAACAAAATATACGTAAATGGATAACGTTTGAAAAATATTGACCATTTACAGTGTTTTTCACAATGAAAATCTTGCTTACCTGAGGAGTAAAATAAAATCAAATGCCAGGAGGCCCAGTTCATCGAAATTCAAATGGAAAGTTTAAGTGCATGTTCGTTGATCATCGTTTGCAAATATTAAGCATTTTTCTTTTGCAGGTTTTTTATATTTGTTAAAAACTACCTACACCTTGTGCGGAATTTAAGGAACACTTCATTAATGTGTGTTTTGATCAATTTTTCAATAACATCCAAATTATGTTTTAAAAACAGTAATAATATTTTATGAATATTTATTAGTAAAATAAAACCAAAAATTTTTGTGTTGTTTTTAAAAATGTATATGGTTATTTCATCTATTCTTACGGTGACCAACATTTTTGGTTGAAAATAGAGTACATTTAGACATCGACTCAAAAGTTGTGACCCCATGTAGGACAAAAATAAATGTAAATTATTTGGAATAGTGGAAAGCCTACCTGTCTGGCACGGATTTAAATTCCTGACCAGAATATCACAAACCTCTCTCTATGAGGTTTTGAATGTCGCGCCGTACGAACTCCGCGATAAGAGTCGGCCTATATATGGATCGTGTGCACTGATCATAAGAGTGAATGCACTTATATGTGCATTATTTTGTTTGATTGAATTTAGCCTTGCCTGGTCCCAATTACCCCAAATGCTGCTGTTATTAAAACTTAGTTCAACAAGTTTCCTTTTCTGCCTAAGTGTTAAAATCGAAACTTTAATAGAAAGTGTTTTTATACCCTCCGCCATACTATGGAGGGTATATTAAGTTTGTCATTCCGTTTGTAACTCCTCGAAATTCTCATGTTAGACCCCACAAAGTGTATATATTTTGGATCATCGTAAAATTCTAAGTCGATTTATCGATGTCCGTCTGTCTGTCTGTTGTAATTACGCTATCATTCGAACGAAATGAGATAGAAGGCTAAAATTTTGCACACATGTTTATTTTGTCAGTAGGCATGTTAAGTTCGTAAATGGGCCATGTCGGCCCACGTTTTCGTATAGCTCCCATATAACTGTACCTCCCAATATTCGGTATTTCGATGATTTAAGCTACATATTAACCGGAACTGTTCCAAATTTCGTATATGAAGTTCGGAATAGGTTCTACAGCATATGACACAAAATTGCACATTCAGGTCCACGGCTTCGTATAGCACCCATATAACGGTACATCCCGATATTCGGTATTTTGATGATTTTAGCGACATTATTAACCGGAACTGTTCCAAATTTCGTATTTGAAGTCCGAAATGGGTATTACAGCCTATGATAGAAAATTGCCTATGCTGGTCCCCGTTTCCGTATAGCCCCCATACATCGGTACCTCCCGAATTTCGGTATTTTGAAAGTTTCTGCCACAATCAACATTGATAAACATAGTGGTTAAGGGTATAAATAGTTCGGCACGGCCGAAATTACTACTTACTGTCTTAACGATTTTCTTCATTTAAAACCTCACCTGCGCTTCTATGACTTTAAACAAATCAACATAGTGGACAACGAGAACCAGCAATAAAAAAGAGGACACATAAAGTACGTTAATAAAATATGGAACGCAAACCAAAAAAAGTACTGTTCACTATAATAGAGTAAACTTATTTTACGCTGATCAAGAATATATATACTTTGTGGGGTCTAAAATGTATATTTCGAGGTGTTACAAACGGAATGACAAACTTAATATACCCTCCATACTATGTATGGTGGAGGGTATAATAATGCATATATAAGTGCATGGACTTCCGCAAACACAAAGACATAAATAAGACTTATGAGCAGAGCACCCGGTTTGTGATATTCTGGTCAGGAATTTAAATAAAGATTTTTTGGGTGTTAGACAGGTGGGTTTCCACTATTCAAGTGTAGCTCCAAATAATTTACATTTATTTTTGTCCTATATGGGGTCGCAACTTTTCAGCCGATGTACTCTATTTTCAACCAAAATTATTGGTCACCGAAAGTATATGGGAAATAACCATATGCATTTTTAAGAACAACACAACAGTGTTTTGTTTCTTTTAAGAACAATAATCCAAAATTTTTTATCACTGTTTTATAACATAATTTGGATGTTGATAAATTGATCAAAACACACATTAATACGCAAAAAGCAAAAAAGTTTGTACTCAAATCATGAATTTCAATAAACTCTTGAAGACAAGCAGCATATGGGCACTCGTCATTTCCATGATTTTCTTCTTTTGATCCAATGATTTCAGGTACTCCAAGCGAAGTGTTTCTTAAATTCCGCACAATTGTAGGTAGTTTTTTAAACATGAAAAAATCTGCAAAAGTAAAATGTTTAATAATTGTAAACGATGATCTACGAACGTGTACTTACACTTTCCATTGAATTTTGATGAACTGAGCTTCCTGGCATTTGATTTCATTTTACTCCTCAGGTAAGCAAGATTTTCATTGTGAGAAACACTGCAAATGGTCAATATTTTCCAAACATTATCCATTTACGTTGATTTTGTTCTAATGTTAAAATAAAATTATTGTATAGGGAACACGAAATTGATTTTGTTCTTTGTTTTGCTATTTAATTCGATTTTGAGTAACAGGGATATGGAAATATATTTTCGACATAAGGTGTGTCTGGTTACCCTAAAGTTTGTAACAATTGTTACAAATTGTTACTGGAAGTCGTCTGTTAACCCGAAAGTTCTGCAAAAGAGAGCGGTTGGAGAGAGGAATTTTGACAGTTCTTTCAGCTAGAGTTTGCAAATTCTTGCTGGAAAAATTTCTTCTTGCAATCTCTTGCAACTCTTCTTCTTCTCATTCATCGACATTCAATCAGATTGTTTATTTACTTCTTTTTGTGATTTTAGTTTTAAAATATTGTTTTGGAATAAGCAAGACTAATTGTTTTTGGAGAACAACTTTACAAAATGTGAAAAACGTAAATGTTAATATGTAATAAGAAAATAAAAGACTATTTCCAACATTTTTATTTAAAAAACTTGTAAAATTAGTATTGGTTCCTTTGTTTTAATTCTCCTTATGGGGGACAAATTGGTTTGTTTTGATAAATCAGCTGATTAGTTGCAAGCTTCTGCAGGAATATCGTCTGTTTACTTTTCGCATTTTCCTTGCAAAAGAGAATAAACTACCTTACTCTCTCAGAAAGAAGTTGCTGGACAATTCTTGCTGGAAAAGTAACCAGACACACCTATAATGTAGCACGACCAATGACATCATCGATCACCGTTTGTATGTTTGATGCAGGGCCGCGGTTACATAATGTTGTGTCGAAAGTCGATACAATCTCAAAATCGAATCGATAAATAGCAAAAGAAGAGAACAAAATCAATTTATTGCTCCCTATACAATAATTTTATTTGAAAGGGCGCGAAGTAATAAACAAAACATTGGAACAAAATATACGTAAATGGATAACGTTTGAAAAATATTGACCATTTACAGTGTTTTTCACAATGAAAATCTTGCTTACCTGAGGAGTAAAATAAAATCAAATGCCAGGAGGCCCAGTTCATCGAAATTCAAATGGAAAGTTTAAGTGCATGTTCGTTGATCATCGTTTGCAAATATTAAGCATTTTTCTTTTGCAGGTTTTTTATATTTGTTAAAAACTACCTACACCTTGTGCGGAATTTAAGGAACACTTCATTAATGTGTGTTTTGATCAATTTTTCAATAACATCCAAATTATGTTTTAAAAACAGTAATAATATTTTATGAATATTTATTAGTAAAATAAAACCAAAAATTTTTGTGTTGTTTTTAAAAATGTATATGGTTATTTCATCTATTCTTACGGTGACCAACATTTTTGGTTGAAAATAGAGTACATTTAGACATCGACTCAAAAGTTGTGACCCCATGTAGGACAAAAATAAATGTAAATTATTTGGAATAGTGGAAAGCCTACCTGTCTGGCACGGATTTAAATTCCTGACCAGAATATCACAAACCTCTCTCTATGAGGTTTTGAATGTCGCGCCGTACGAACTCCGCGATAAGAGTCGGCCTATATATGGATCGTGTGCACTGATCATAAGAGTGAATGCACTTATATGTGCATTATTTTGTTTGATTGAATTTAGCCTTGCCTGGTCCCAATTACCCCAAATGCTGCTGTTATTAAAACTTAGTTCAACAAGTTTCCTTTTCTGCCTAAGTGTTAAAATCGAAACTTTAATAGAAAGTGTTTTTATACCCTCCGCCATACTATGGAGGGTATATTAAGTTTGTCATTCCGTTTGTAACTCCTCGAAATTCTCATGTTAGACCCCACAAAGTATATATATTTTGGATCAACGTAAAATTCTAAGTCGATTTATCGATGTCCGTCTGTCTGTCTGTTGTAATTACGCTATCATTCGAACGAAATGAGATAGAAGGTTAAAATTTTGCACACATGTTTATTTTGTCAGTAGGCATGTTAAGTTCGTAATGGGCCATGTCGGCCCACGTTTTCGTATAGCTCCCATATAACTGTACCTCCCAATATTCGGTATTTCGATGATTTAAGCTACATATTAACCGGAACTGTTCCAAATTTCGTATATGAAGTTCGGAATAGGTTCTACAGCATATGACACAAAATTGCACATTCAGGTCCACGGCTTCGTATAGCACCCATATAACGGTACATCCCGATATTCGGTATTTTGATGATTTTAGCGACATTATTAACCGGAACTGTTCCAAATTTCGTATTTGAAGTCCGAAATGGGTATTACAGCCTATGATAGAAAATTGCCTATGCTGGTCCCCGTTTCCGTATAGCCCCCATACATCGGTACCTCCCGAATTTCGGTATTTTGAAAGTTTCTGCCACAATCAACATTGATAAACATAGTGGTTAAGGGTATAAATAGTTCGGCACGGCCGAAATTACTACTTACTGTCTTAACGATTTTCTTCATTTAAAACCTCACCTGCGCTTCTA